ATAGATAGATAGATAGATAGATAGATAGATAGATAGATAGATAGATATTACATACATATATTCTTTTGGATATTAGTGGGTATGGAATAATATTTTCAGAGCCTGCCAGCACTCGTCTTCTCTCAGATTTGCAGATTTGACTCGTGGCAGTGGCACCAGAGCAAAAAAATAGCGCCCATCCGACGAGTCCGGCGGAGCGGATGGATACACTCATTCAGCCGCCTGTGAATTCTTTGGGATTCAGCGGAGGCACACTAGCATGGATGTCGGCCGTGCTGCGGCAGTGTTCAGCCGTTTTTTTTCCTAGCGAAGAGCCCGAGCGGGTGGAGACTGCCACACATTTAAATCCCCCGGGTCGGTTTTAGACTCCAGCCGAGGACCGTTTTCCCTTTTTGTTTCTTTTAGATAACCGGATTCGCCATAGCCACTTTAATGTCGTAAATGACACGTTTGTAAGGGCGTCGTTTGTTTGGAAGTTGCTTCGGGGGGGTGGGGGGGATTCGGCCAGCTAAGGGCCATGGCAGCCGAGGCTCGGCCGGAGCTGGTGGGGAAGCGGTTCCTCTGTGTCAGCGGCGAAGAGCCTCACGAGATCCGCGACATCGGCCGGTGGCCGTGGAGGTCCGGGGTGATCCGAGCCGTCAACAACCGCAACGGCGACGGCTGCGAGCTGACGGTAAGCGGGCTGCCTGCGTCCAGCCCTCGGTCTGTTACATGCAAATCAGAGGGGAAATCTGGGGTTAGCTAGCCCGCGAGGCACCAATGTGGAGTTTCGAGCGGAAATTATTTACGGCTTGCTTTGGTACCGTGGATCCCTTGTTCCCGGGAGTCCCCCATTTGTATTCGGCGTGCTGTGTTATGGTAATTTTCTTGTAGTCAGCGTTGGTTTTTGACCACGGAGCCGATCCAGTCAATGGGAATCAGCCTCCAGCGGGCTTACGGAGGGCAGACGGCTCCGGGCTCCAGACAGCTCTCTGGTTCTCCCCACCAGAGCCTCCAACCCTGGGCAGCATTCGGGGTCCAGTGTGGGCTCCCCCCTCGCCTAACCCCGGGCAGATGGCGGTGCCCCCCAGACTGGTTGTGTTTGCATGTGCAGGAATGTTGGTGTGGTGCAGCTAAAAGCTTTAATCTGCTGTGTTCCGCAAATCAGCTGACATCTGGAGTTATTCCCGCGTTACTGACTTAAGGTCTAATCCTTATTAGCTCGTTATTGTTCACATTGCGGCGTTTTGGGTGTATTGATCCACCGTATGGCCCCATATGCCTGTTTTAATCTGGCCGACGATAACCCCATCGACTCGGCCGGGAAGCAGGAATGCTGGGACTTGTAAAAACAGAAAACTGGCTTGCTGCAAGATGAACAATGGCCAGTGTGTTTTCATGTCAAGTATTGTCTGCATCTGCATTTTAAAGAGATTGTGCTGCCTGTCCCGTGTCCTGGAGCAGCACACAGCTCTCCTGATTGATTAGTAATTATGCTCTCCTGTAGTCACTCCTCAGCTCTTTAATGTTTGCTTTGACCTGTGAAAGAAGGAGGCATTTCCCATCATTTCTTTGCCCCAGATGGCTGAGAACGAGCAGATGACGGCTGCCTGACAAGCCCTTGGTTGATCACAACACAGCATCACCCAGAACTGGCTGAGCCGTGCGCCTACCCGTCATTTTCTTTTGTTCCCACACTCCCATACTCTGTACCTTTGCTGAAAATAGGGCTGATGCCACCACATTACGGCCGCATTTCCCGTGTTATCGTGTCGTCTTTGTGTGCGTATGGGGGACTCCGGTCAGCCGGTTGTCAGATATTATGGCAGATGTGGTCATCTAATGGTGACGGGGCTCTGGGGGGGGTTAGCGTGTTCTTTGTGTCTGTTTGACTCGCTTTTCCTCTCCATGCTCACCATCTTGTTCTGAAGCTGAGGACCTGGCAGAGGTTATCATTCTGCTTTATTCACAATTAAACTGAGGTTTCAATGAACTGGAGTTGCCACATTCATGGTGTGGGTTTTTCTCGGTTTTGCTATTGTGGATGCTGATGATGAAGGTCTTTGTGTTTTTGACCCAGCAGTGAGGTGAGGCGGCGTGCTCCACACATCCATCACACCGTGGCAGCTAAAACGAGCGGCTGACTGCTGCATGTCTGTGTGGAGCAACGTTTCTCAGCCTCCTGCAGGTGTTTGGGTGTGAGGGGATTTAGGCACGCGGGACTCTTCTGCTGGCACCCACAAACGGGTCCCATCAGAAAGAGTTCAAGTGGCTGAGTGAAGGATTCGGCATCAGATTAGGAGTGTGGAGCCAAGCTGTCAGGGCTTTGGTAGTGACACAAACAAGGTTTAGATCATTATCATTAACACTCATTGTTTGTTGTTGCAGACCTTTAAGCAATCTTTGTCAGAGGGATTGTTACTTCCTAATTATTCACAGTTTAAAAATATCAACTTTGAAATCAACTGGTCACATGCTCCATGACACAGTCTCGTTTCAGTCTTTTGATCCGTTGAGCTTTTATTGATGAGAGGGCTTTCATCCGGATCACTTATGTCTCACCCGGCCACGGTTAACACAGGAAGTACATGCTGGTCCTCACTAAGACAATCAGAGGTGGTACACCTCCCACCAACAGCACTGGTTCCACAGGAACATGCTCAATCTTAGTAGCAAATGTCTTTGCTTTAGCTCCCGTCAGACAATATAGTTCTAGTTGATGCCCACATTAATATGGAATGATCACACACACAATAATTAGCTGGCTATGTTCCCATTGGCCAAGCATCCTTAGGAAAGACACTGACACCATGTGTGTAGGGATGGGGGGCCTGTAAATCCATTTATGGTGCTATTAGTGGTCATTTAGACTAGAAATACACCATACAAGCCTTGTCCATTTAGCATTTAGCATGCTGCTATGCTACTACCGCGAGCCTTGTCCAGGAGGGAAAAAGCAGGAGGCAGCAGAAAGCCAGCTGGTTCACAGCAAAACCAGTGGAGCAGGGGCAGGTGTATGCAGTCCTGGGGGGTAGTTCTTTGACCTGAGGAGACCAGGAGGTGTTGCTGTGGCTACACAGATGCCAGGTGAGGGACATGGTGTCCTCCTTGTCATGTCTGGTTTGTGTGCTCTCATTTAGTCATGTCTTTTGTTTGCATTCCCCTTTTGGGGTGTCTCCTCTCCTTTGGGCATCGCCCTCTCCCTAAATTTGGGTCGTGTTTTATCTTTTGTGTCCTTTCCTTTCCTGTGGGATGTCTCCTCTCTTTTGGGGTGTCTCCTGTAGTTTGCCCAGCGTACTCTCTGTTTGACCACATACCTTCCTTTGGTTGGTGTCTTCTCTTTTTGGCCCTGTCCTCTCCTCTGGTTCATGTCATGTTCTTTTACTATTTTTTTCCTCATCCTATAACCAGCAGACAATTGTCAGTGTGTCTGAAACCTTCCCCATGATTACTCGTACTCCTCATTTTGACAAAGCCTCCTTTAAATAACTGGAAAACTTGAGTGTCAGTGTAGCCTCCAACACCCTGAGATCGTAAAGTGTTGAGCCTGTCCACAGTAAAGAGATGCTGTAGTGAAAACAAAGTAAGAGAGTCTTCTGTGGACCTGTGAAGCTCCACAATAGGCCAGCACTAGTTAAGACCAATAGAAACATCAACAACTTGGTGGTTTCCATCAGCTTGTGCTGTGAACTGGACCTCTTCCTTTTCTACATGCTGCTCTGCTTTTGCCCAGGGAAACATTCCTGGTTGTTACTGTGTGCGTTCTGTTTTTCTGCTCAGTAAGAGCCTGGATCCGGACTTGTACAGGACACTTTAGTTAT